TCTTTCATTTTAGTTCAACAAACACATCTAAAATCCAAAACTCTTTCGTTTTAGTTCAGTGGCTGTGAATTATCATCATTCACAGACTGGAATGAGTTTTAAACCGGTTATAATTAGTCCCAGGGACGCCTGCCAAAAGTTCTTCGAAAGACGTCTGATAAGAACGCACCTTATCTGACTTGAAGTGCTGCCAGCGACTAAAGTCCCAAAACCGAACAGAACAAATGCACCACAGAGCTTTCAGAGTCCAGAGTGAGTGACCTTGCTTCCTGCAAAGGTTTCATCATCTTTGCCCTTCCTTTATACCTTATGGGAGGGGCAATCACCTCCACGCCTTATTCCCAAGTTGCCCCTTTTGTCTTAGCTGCTCCTGCTTTCTGGCAGCTCTGCGCACGCGCGCACTGGGAACAGGCTCCCCTCGTTCCTCTGATTCTGGAGGCTCCGGAGTCAGCACGTAACTCCCAGGTGGTCCCGGCCCCATCTCTGCGTCGGATGCAGGACCCTCATCCGAGCCCTCCCCAGACTCCCGGACTGGTCCCCGTTCCTCCCCACTGTCCGATTCTGCCGCCATCCGCACAGGCTGCTGGCAAACCCCAAAAGATTTCCCTTAATCTACGGCAGGGCTGTCAAACTCCTGGCCTGTAGGCCGGAAGCATCATGCGCCGGCCACGCCCCCGCCCGGTTTAGTGAAGGGGGAAAAAGTCCCAATCTGTCACCTGACGACACCGCGATGACGCGAGTTTGACACCCCTGATCTACAGGCAGTTGTCCACGTTCCAGCAAACCTCCATTCCCATCAGTAACTCTGGGACAAGCATCATCTCAAAAGTACCTTTATTAGAACAACACCTGGCACACCTGTGGAATCTCGAAATGTTTCCCAGACTTCACACAACGTCCCAGACTACAATCCATCTCCTTTTCTTCCATCATCACATCACAGGGACCAATCACGATCTGTCTCGGTGTAAGATCCTTTTTCCATGCTGCGCCACGCTTAATAACCTTGAACTAAGAAAAGAATTTTATTTGGTCTACTTAGAACTACCCAATTGAAATCACTCCCACTTTCTTAGGCTACGGGGCAGCGTAGAATATGGCTTCCAAAGCTGACGGCAGTAACATCTCTTCACCCCTCCTGAAAAAAGTCACAGGGATATAGTTTCCTCGACTTACAGCCATAACTGAGCCCAGAATCCTGGCTGTATGTCATGCCAGTTGTTAAGCGGCCGGTTTTACAAGCTTTTTTGCAGCAGCCATTAACTGCCGCTAAACGAACACTACAGATTGTTCAAACGAATGCCATGGTCGTTAAGCGAACTCGGCTGTTTCCTGCAAAAGAGATTGTAAATCACCATTGCGTGACCGTGGGGTGTTGCATGCAGCTGTATAAATGTTAGCTGCTTGCCAAGCGCCCGAAATGCGACTGCATGGAGAGTGGTAGCTGTTAGAGTTTTGAAACCGGGTTGTAAAAAGCTCCTGAGAGGTCAGTCATAACTTGAAACAGTTGCTAAGCAACCAGTCATAAGGCAAGGACTGCCTTGACCAATTGCTTGGTGGGGGAAAATGGATACATCTGGCCTTTTCCACTTTCTTCTCCGCTCTGTGTTGCACAATTAATTACTGCTTTTTGAATCAAGTGATTTCCCAAAATATGAAAATTCAATGGCTAAACTCTGATTCCAAGAGTTGTATACTACTAGTTGTATACTACTAGTTTCTACTGCCTGTCTTGGCTGCAACCTGTAGACAAAATCAGAGACAATTTGAAAGATTGTCCTTGGCTTACAACAGTTTGTTTAGTGACCACTTGAAGTCACGGCTGCGCTGAAAGAAAGTGACTTATGGCCATTTCTCAGTTAACGGCCGTAACTTCAGTCACTTGGCAAACGACTCACAATTATGACGGTTGCAGTATCCCGGGGTCGACAAGCCAAGTCACTAGGGGAAGCCAGATTCGCTTAACAACCATGTTGCTAACTTAACAACTGCAGTGATTCACTCAGCAGCTGCTGTCAAATGGGTCGAAACTCGCTTCCCAACTGTTTTGCTTAGTAGCAGAAACGTTGGGCTCATTTGTGGGTCGTAAGTCAAGGACTCCCTGCACTGGCAACTTATTTCTCCTGGGTTATATCTGTGAGCTGCCCTTTTCAGTTCTGCATGTTGACAATCCTGCACAATTGAAGCCTTGCCTTCCTCAGAGTGGAAGAATTTGGAGACTAGCTTTTCTAAAACCGAACAGCTCTTAGGCATCTGTGAAACATTTTTAATCACTTTTGTGTGGGCAAAGAACACTTTTGTACATCTGGTATGCTGTTTTAACGTAACAGCAATGCCAAGTTATCCCTTCGTGCACCTGCCATTTAAAAAGGTTTATTTTATTTTCCTTATTTTAAGTAAAATGATCTCTTTTTTTTTTTTTTTCAAAAAGTAGCTTTGACTCCAAGGCTCCAAATGTTTTTTCTTGTAGCAGCTATACAGGTTCTTGGAGTACTTCATGTTCCTTCTAGGGGCTCAGCCTGGGTGATTTCGGTCAACCGCACGTGATTTTAGACAGGCTCGTAGGTATTGTTCTTGTCTCAGGCAATATTTATTTTCTCCAAATACCTGAGATAAGGAGTTAAACACTACAGAGGCTTCCATGCAAAATTTCTTGGATTATATCAGGCATCCTCAAGATATAACTCACAGTTTTGTTGAGATTCATCTAATGTCCAGTCTTTGCATCGTCTTCTTCATAGTATGAGAAGATAGTTATTTTCATCCCATAATGATACAGCTAGGGGGGACTCCAGCACGTTGCTGGGTCCAAGTAAAAATGAAGAGAAACTCTCCCCAACCCAACCAGCGACCAATCAGGAGTACAGATGTGACCACATGACCTGAACTATATATCTCCCATGAGGCATTAACTACATTTCCCATGAGGCATTCCCTTAAGGGGACAGCCCCCGTTTCCAACTCTATCCTGTCTAACCAGCACAGGTATAATCCAGGCTCTCTGAAGGAGATGGGGGGGCTTAGAAATATTAAATATAAATAAATACATTTTGTTTTGCAGCCGTATGCTGTCCAGCAGCTCAGAGCGGTTGCAGGCGTGATGATTACAGCTTCCCACAACCGTAAAGAAGACAATGGCTACAAGGTAGGTCAGCAAACTTTGTAGATGCCTGATTTGATCGATTGGTTTGCAACGTTTTCCCTCTCTAGGTCAGCGATGGTGAACCTTTTGGGGTTCATTGTGTCAAAAGTTTGGAGAATGAGGCGTCCTTGGTGCTTTCGGCAAGCGCATAGCCCTCTCATGTGACCTCCGGAGTATCTGGAGGCTGTATGAGAGCACGCCCCATTGTAGCACAGCTTCCACAGCCCTCCACAATTACCACATGAACAGGGTATGCTTTCGAGAATAGTTGTTGTTAGTTGTTGTAAATTGTAAGTTGAGGGCTGCGCATCTCTTCCCACAGCTGGACTGTTAAGCAGATTCCTCACTTTGGTGAACTCTCACTGCAGGTCTACTGGGAAAACGGCGCTCAGATCACATCCCCGCACGATAAAGAGATCCTGAAATGCATCGAAGAATGCGTGGAGCCGTGGAACGACTCCTGGAACGAAAATCTGGTGGACTGCAGCCCTCTCACTCGGGACCCTCTGCAAAACATCTGTGCAAGCTACATGGAGGACCTGAAAAAGATCTGCTACCACCGGTAAGATACCCCACCCTATATCCGTGGCTGCCCCTGTAGGCACACAATTCCCACATTTTGAAAAGGAGAAATGTAAGAAGGAAGGTGCATTTATCTGCAGTAGTGGACACCAAGATTAGATAATGTTTTAAGGAATGAATACAACTGTGAATTGAGTAACAGAAACTGCCTGGTTTTGCATTTCCAACAACATGCGCATTTCCTCTCTGTATGGTTTCATGACACTTCCTCTTTTTTATTAATTACAGTTTTAACTTAAGTGTCGAATACACCCAATACTCCTTCCTCCTTCTATTTTTCTCACAACATCAACCCTGTGAGGTGTTGTGCTGTGAGAGAGGGAGAGAGAGAGCGCGCGAGAGAGAGAGCGCAAGGTGAGATTGGCCCACTTGTTGCCTAAGGAGGAACTAGAACCCACTATCTTCTCATCATTGGCCCATTTTTGGGTCAATCACTCTCTCCTGGTGATTGGCCTAATGTCTCCCACTTCTATGCCTCAGGTAGGATGAGAAGTCATTACCTTTACTACATTGGGCTACATCTTGCCTAAGGTGGGACTAGAACTCATGGTCTTCTGTTTTCTAGTCTGGTGCCTTCATCACTACACCAAACTGGGCCCCTTTCCTTCTTGTTATCATGTTATAAATGATAGATTGGTCCTTACTCACCAGGGTTACGCGTTCCCAATTAGAAAGCTATCTGATTCAGTCACGATGCTTCAACTGTCACGAATATGAAGCAGTGGCCCCCAAAATCTGAATTTTTGTCATGGGATCACGGGGATTCTGCAACAGTCGTACCCGTGAAAAATGGTCATAAGTCAGTTTTTTCAGTGCTGTTGTAACTTTAAACAATCATTAAGTGAACCTACAGGTGGTAAAAGAAGAAGAGCATGGTTGCCTTCAAATTGCAGCCTACAATTCTGCAGCCAAGACAGAAGGAAATCCGTTTCTCAGCCTGTCATTGGCCCTGTTTCACATGAATTCTCCCCTCTGGATAGATAACACTAATTTAGCTAGAAAGCAGGAAATCGTTGGATTTCTTGCTTTCTAGCTAATCTAAAAGCAGAGCCGAACCTTCCTTAGGACCGAAGCTTCTATTTCTCCGTGCAGACTCAGGTAGCAGATGGCAGAAAGGTAGATCTCTGAGTGAATCTGTGATTCTGCGAGCAACTCAATCTGCCTGCCTGCTTTGCCTGATTTTGGGTGAAAGTTGCTCTTTTTTTATTTGAATGAAAAACTCAATATTTTTACCCAAATATTTATAATATTTACATACAAGCCATGCCCACTCAGTCACATGACCACCAAGCCACACCCACCAATTAGGCCATGCCCACAGAACCGGTTAAGAAATTCGAATCCCGCTCCTGCCTTTAACGCTTTCTTCCTGCTGTTTTCCACCACAGAGAGCTGAACGCAAAGACCCCCTTGAAATTTGTGCACACGTCTTTCCACGGGGTGGGACACGACTACGTGCAGCTGGCTTTCCAGGCCTTTGGCTTCCAGCCCCCCATTCCAGTCCCTGAACAAAAGGATCCGGATCCCGATTTTTCCACCGTCAAATGTCCCAATCCCGAAGAAGGAGAATCGGTGCTGGTAGGTTTTTGCCCCTTTGGCGCTTCTTCCAGGAATTGTGCGGGGAGGGATTGGGGGGAATTGTCTTCTCCAAGTAGACCAGCTGGGATCGACCCTCCGATCAGCGCGTTTGAATGAGGACCACGCATGTTTTTTCCAGGAACTGTCTTTGCGGCTGGCGGAGAAAGAGGGAGCGCGAGTGGTCGTGGCGACGGATCCTGATGCGGACAGGCTAGCGGTGGCCGAACGACAGGAAATGTGAGTGGCTGGAGGTTCCTGCGGCTTGGCCTTGCCATAACTCCCTCTTCTGAGCCAAGGGCATCACAACTCCCCCAGGAAAAACCGGCTGGGCTGCTCTCCGCGAGTCTCTGGGGGAAAGAACCATTTATTTATGTAATTTCTACGCTGCCTATATCTCGCTACCTAGAGTGACTCTGGGCAGCTTATAGTGGCAAATAAATGTCCCACTCATTCCATCAAATATAGCTAGCCTTTAACTTCAACCATTCGTTTAATGATTGTTTGAAGTTACAGCATCAATGAAAAAAACGTGACTTATGGCCATTTTCACACGTAAAACTGGCTCGTGTTTACAACGCGCGCACCTACCCCCAATGCAACACACACACACACACACCTGTGTACCATTTCAGTCAGATGGCTGTCCCGTCTTTTCTAAAAAAACTCGTAGTGTTGCAGCAACCACAACTTCTGGAGGCAAGTTGTTCCACCGATCGATGGTTCTCGCTGTCAGGAAATTCCCCCTTAATTCTAGGTTGCTTTTCTCTTTGGTAAGTTTCCATCTGCTACCTCTTGTCCTGCCTTCAGGTGCTTCAGAGGATTGAAACTTAAACCTTCAATCATGGTTTCATCATCTGATTATTTGATTATAATTATGCAGATCCATTTGAACCCTGTTTTGTTGTTTCCTAACACGTTATGCAGAGCTGGCTTGAGAAATTGTCATCTGCTGCTCCAAAAAATGGGTTAATTTAGAACAGGTGGCCCTCCACCTACGACCCATCTTTTCAAAATTACAGTGGCACTGGGGGGAAAAAAAAGAGAGTTACAACCCATCCTTGTCCTTACAACTGTCACCCGAGGTCCTGTGATCAAAATCCAGCACTCGGTCGCATGCTTGCCATTTGCAATAGGCAAACTCAATGAAAACTGGATTCACTTAATGACCACGCGATTCATTGAATACCTGCGGTGAATTCCCTTAACCATCGTGGCAGAAAAAGTCGTAAAAACCCAGCGCCGCTCACTTAACCGCTTCGCTTAGCCATGGAAATTCAGCTCCCAATTCTGGTCTTAAGTCGGGGACTAACCTGGTTAAGCTTTTAATCTTGTCTCATTCAGTGGCCGCTGGAAAGTCTTCACCGGCAATGACCTGGCCGCCTTATTTGGCTGGTGGATGTTTACTTGTTGGAAGGAAAATCGTCCCAAGGGAGCCGACGTCAAGAACGTTTACATGCTAGCCACCACCGTCTCCTCCAAAATTCTGCGGGCCATCGCTCTCAAGGAAGGATTTAATTTTGAAGTGAGTGTTGTCCGGGGCTACTCTTTGGTGACGTGTTCCAAGTGGGGTCTCGGGCCTCCAAGGGGAAGTCTTGAGATGTTTGGAGGAGGGTCCCTCAATCCTGATCGTTGATCGTCCTTATTCCTACGACGTTGTCGGGAGCACCGGAACTCTTCTGGGTTGACAGGATTGAACAGTGACATCACCATGGGCCGGGAATGTTCCTTTCATGTCCCCATTAAGATGCCCACCGAAGTGGTCAGCATCTCTCTACCGTGTTCCCCCCAAAATAAGGCCCTGTCTGATATATATATTTTTGCCACCAGGTCTTATTTTCGGGGGATGTCCTCCACTGACTAACCTCACTTGTGTGCGTTGCCACCGGCCTCTTTTTCGCTCTCAGAGGCCTTCTGGAACTTTTTCGGCAGCTGGCAAGGCTTCCCTGAAGGGCTATAACAAAAAAGCTGTGGATCAATGCAGAGATGTGTTATTAGCTACAGAGGCCCTCAGGAAATCTTTGCCGGTAGAAGGAATGGGCTGACAAGGCAGGTGTCCGGGTGTGTCTTGTCTTAGGCAATATTTTTCTTCCAAAGGATGCCTAAAATAAGCAGTTAAAACTCTACAAAGGCTTCCATACAAAGTTTATTGGATCACAAGGCATCCTCAAGAGTTATGTCGAGATCCATCTAATGTCCAAATCTTTGCATAGCTGACTTCATAGTGTGAAATTTTAGTGATCTTCATCCCATAATGATGGTGCAAACGGCGAGACTCCAGCAAGCTGCTGGGGTCCAAGCAAGAAGAAAGGAAACTCCCCAACCCAACCCAGGGTCAATTCAGTGACCAATCAGGATGACAGATGCGATCACATGACATGAGCTACATTTCCCATAAGGCATGAACTACATTTCCCATGAGAAATCCCTGGGTGAAACTGGCTCGCAGCTGAGAGAGCGTGAGCCCCCAGTGCGGTCCTTCTGAAAGGAGCAACTCCCTGTCTCATTTCAGGAGACCCTCCCTGGCTTCAAATGGATCGGCAGCAGGGTGAAGGATCTCGTGGACAGCGGCAAAGAAGTCCTTTTCGCCTTCGAGGAGTCCATCGGTAAGCAGCCAGTGGTGGCGTCCTCCTCATCCAGAGGAAATAACTGGGAAGGAATTTCTCCTGGTATTTTTAAATCCCAAACCAGAACCTTTCATTTATTTAGTAAAGAAAATGGTCAGGATTCCAAGTAATACACCCAGAGCAAATAGAACTCCAAGGCAAGTGGGTTCCTCAAAGGACAGGTTTGTCGGTCGTATCACATTGGCACAGACTGGTGAAAACTGACTCTAAAGGTCAGTTTTCACCTGACTAAAAGTAGGTTTCTCCCCGCTTCCCCAAAGAATTGTCCATTCAAGGGTGCTGTCCAGTTGCTTGGAAACTTCAGTCTGTCAACTTGTAAAGCATTCCTAGTTTGCTCTTGAGTTGCCATAAGGAGGAGGAGGGAGTGGCGGGAGATCTGATGGGAGCAGGTTGGTTGCTATGACCAGAAGCACATTCCACGCGTACCTTTCTCCAGATTGTGTCTCAGCTTACCGGAGCCCTCTGGAGAGGCATGTTTTCTACAGCCCGGAGAAAGTGCTTCGTTGGAGAATATGATTTATGACACACCCTGGGAGGAGGAGGGGAGAAACAGGGTCATAGGTGGGCAGTAGCTTCGTTGGAGAATGTGATTTATGACACACCCTGGGGGGAGGAGGGGAGAAACAGGGTCATAGGTGGGCAGTAGCTTCGTTGGAGAGTGTGATTTATGACACACCCTGAGAGGAGGGAAGAAACAGGGTCATAGACGGGCAGCAAATTACGCAGGGCAGAGCCAACTGCATTTGGGAAAAGTGCCGACATGTTGCTCCTAATAAATAATTGCATTTCTTTTGACTCGAGGCTCATGAATTAATTGGGGCGTCCGCTGGAACCCTGACACGCTCCTCCTCTCGTCCGCCACCTGTGCGGATGTCCTTTGTTCTCAGGGGGAAACTGTTTCGGCTACAAAACCCCAACTATCTCTGTTCCCCCCGCCTCCTTATCCCTCATCATCCTTGTGGCAACCCTGAAGCCTCCAAGATGAGGCCTCAGTCATACCTTCTCATGATACAGTGACACCCATGGATGTATTTCATCTAAAAATTACTCCATTTCACCAGAATTTCTTGGGAGAGTCTTGTCTCTTTTCATTTCGTTCCTGGTTTGGGATGACAGTGACGTCTCAGCCAGAAAGCGTGGAAGTGCAGAGTTACAGTTGGTTTACGATTTATTCAATTCCTATAGCTTCCCATCTTGGCAAACTACTCTGGGCTTATCGGTAAAATCTGTCAGGACCGCCATCTTGCTACGCCGTGGGGAGGGGGCGGCGAAAGGCAGGGTGGGGTAAGGAGCGGGTCAGCATGAGGAAAGGAGAGATCCCATGAGAGCCTCCAGCTGTTCCGAGGTCACATGAAACAATGCAGAACCACCCAGCCTGCGAAGACAGGGACTGTTCCCCAAACCATCGGTTAGCACCCGATTGCACGCTGGTTGATAAACGGCGGTGGATGGGAATAAGGGAAAAACTAACTCTGCTTTGGGCACAAAAAACCCCCCACCTTCTCTTCTTCTGATCGATTGAGTTCTAAAAAAAATAAAAATAAAACCACACCAGGATTTTCGTGGTTTATAAGTGGCGGAGGATGGCAAAATTGGGTGGAAATAAACATTTTAAATGGTGTTTTTTTTTTTAGAAGAATTCTCTATTTTCTCTATTTTTATCTCTATAAAAAAATCAGATTTAATCACAGTGTCTGAGTGGATGCTGGATGCTGCCTGGTAAGACACCTCATACTCCCGTTCTGACAGTGGCCTCGTGTCCAGGTTTTGACCCAAATCCGGCCATTGGTCACCACGTTCTTGCTTTCTCCAGAAAGGCTCATCAGTGGTTGTGTTTCCCACCAGCAGCACCGAGGAAATCTACCAACTCCCTTTCCTAAGTTGGCCTTTCTTAGCTTTGGCAAAAGAAGTGTACGGATTTTAAATCCCAGGATTTTCCCCCTGCCAGGATTCTGAGAATGGACATCCCCAAAAACCAGGGAAAAGATCCCAGAATTCTGCTATTCCTCTTTTTTTATTTTTTTTTTATTTTTTTTAAAGCCACTGCTCATTGACGGGGTTTGATTTCTCAAGCTTGAGTGCTGCTCTAATCTACAATCTACCAATCTGTTTGGTTCCCAGGTTTCATGTGCGGCACGTCGGTGCTGGACAAAGACGGGGTCAGCGCCGCCGTGGTCGTAGCAGAAATGGCTGCCTGGCTGGACACCAAGGGCCAAACGCTGGCCCATCAGCTAACGGAGATTTATAAAACGTAAGTCCTTGGCTACCCTCGATTCCAGAAATGCAAACGGCAGCGGCTGAGGCCTTTTTAAAAAAAAATTCCACAGCTGGAACGGAGGTTCACACGGGCACGCTGCGGTTCTTTGCAAGCTGCCACAGAGATTCTGCCTAGAGAGGATGCCCTTTCTGGCACCCTGGCTGTCCCTGCTCAGAATAGATCCATCCTGGAATAGATCCAAAGGTGCTTTCTTTCAAAGCAAACGAAATGTTTTCGAAAGAAAAAGTCTGAAGAATGTCCCTTTTGGGGTGGGGGAAGCACCTTCGGGTCCACCGCGACCCAAATGCCTGAGGATCTCCCATATCCGGTAGATCCAGGACGTTTTCCTTCAGCCAGTCCTGCCCTGTCTTCTCCTAGGTATGGCTACCACATTTCAAAAACCTCCTACTTCCTGTGTTACGATCCCCCTACAATCCAAAGGATATTTGAACGGCTCCGAAACTTCGATATGCCTGATTCTTACCCGACCTCTTGCGGGACGTACGCTATTCTCCACGTCCGGGATGTCACCACCGGCTATGACAGCAGCCAGCTCAAGAAAAAATCGGTAAGTCGTTCCCATCTTCGGGTTCGGAGCGACCGAAGCGCTGTAGTTTGGCTTTGTCTAATCCAGAAGGTTCCGCGTCTCCTTTGAAACAAGCTCTTTTACGACTTGGTTTCAATTTTTAACGGACGCTCTAGAGAAACGCTTTCCGTTTTATTAAATGTACAGTCTTCCACTTAACCGCCCTTTGAAGACACACAGCAGCGCTGGAAAAAGGGACTTGAGTGAATCCTTGCGCTTACGGCCCTTGGAGCGTTGCCATGGAGACGCGATTAAAATTAGGGTGCTTGTCGGTCCGCAATTTTTGGAAGAGTTGCAGCATCCCGGAGTTACGTGTCTACCATTTGTGACCTTCCTTAACTGACTTCCGACAAGCAGAATCCACGGGAGAAGCTGGATTTGTTTAATGACTGCATGGCCCACTTAACAGCAGTGATTTGCTTACCAATGGTGGCAAAAAAGTGGGGGGGGGGTGTTTGTAAAATTGGGAGTGTCTCACTTAACAGCTGCCTTGCTTCTTAGCGGAAATTGGCCCAGTGGTGTTCATAATTCAAATCAGATCAGAGGAATATCTGTCTGTGTTTACATCCTGCGTTGAAATGCACAAGTCTCCTTATCGGCCTGCTGCAAAAATTACAGGCAAATCCCAGATTTCTTTGGCAAATCGCAAAATTCCAGATTTGTTCTGTTTTCGCAGAATCAATTTCCTCAAATCAAAAAAAAAAAAACCATCTTTGAGTTAGGGCCGTAAGGAGCCTGCCCATTACCATTGTAAATCTTGATGGTCGTAAAGTGGGATTTGATGATCTATTTTTTTGTGACGGGCATTAAGCAAACACTTCATTAAGCAACCACGGGATGCAGCAAACCACTATAAATGCGGGACCGGCGACCAAGGGCAGTCACACACGACCACAGGGGGAACCTCCCCATTGGAAGTTCAAATCTGGGTCCTGAGTACCTGCGCAGAGGTCTGTTGTAAGGTCTCTGAGTCACTGGTCTTAAGTTGAGGACTACTTGCAAACCTTACACACCTTAGCGTGCAATGCAGAGCCCAGTAACTCATTTTTACTTCCTTAGTCACCCCGCACTTTCAACACACAAAGCATCCCCCCCGAAATGGACGGCCTGTGTTGTTCTGATGATTAACGACCGTGGCCCAAAGATCAGGAGACCGTGAGTTCTAGTCCCCCCGCCTCCCCTTAGCCATGAAAGTCAGCTGGGTGACCTTGGGCCAGGAGGCGGTGAGTTCTAGTCCTGCTCTAGGCACCCAAAACTAGCTGGGTGCCTTTGGACCGGTCGCTAGGAGATGGCGAGTTCTAGTCCCACCGTCGGCATGAAAGCCAGCTGGGTCCAACCCTGGTTCCAACTAACCTCACCCAGTGGTGGTTGTGAGGGGAGAACTGGAGGCTAGAATGGAGTGGAGGAAAAGAAATCGATCTTATCTCGGAAGAAGGGACCGCAGAGATGTGGCTGCAGGACTTGAGGCTCTGCACCTGAAGCCTGTCTTAGATAACTAGCCTAATTGTTAACCGTGGCTAATCTGGAGAGCCTAAACCAATCTTGGCTAGCAAGCTGGCAACCAGGAAGTTCCCCCAGTTGTGATAAAATAGCCAGAAGCCCGTTCACCGCCGTGAATTGTTTGTAAAAGTAATACGAGGCGGGATACAAATAAGTCGATATAAATGTTTCCACCCCCACACACACCCTCCCTCAAAAACCCGTTGGGTTCAGATTCCAGGCATCTGTGCAAGCCTACATGGGATCAGAACCTTTTTTTGGAGGTGGGGGAAGAGATTGTGATTTCCGGTGCTTTTCCTGTCGTCTCAGGTGTTGCCCGTGAGCAAAAACAGCCAGATGATCACCTTCACCTTTCAAAACGGCTGCGTGGCCACGCTCCGGACCAGCGGAACCGAACCAAAGATTAAATACTACGCCGAGATGTGTGCGCCGCCAGGCCAGAGGTGGGGGGAAAACGCCTTCCCTGTTCACCGAGCCTGATTCCCGGGAGGCCTTATAGCCGAGGGAGGGGAGGGGAGAGGGGGGTGGGAGAGGGAATGGCCTTGAAGGGCAGGAGGAAGTCCCGCCCCCCCAGAGCCGTAGTTGGAGAAACGGGCCGCGAGCCTTGGCTGGGAAAGGAGCGGGAGCGAGACCACCCCTTCCCTAGTCCGCGTCAAAGTAAAGGGAGAGGAAGCACACTCAGACGTGCAAGAGGCTGTTACTATGATTGTAAAGCCATAGTCCTCGCCTCTATGGCTTCTCAGTCTACCCTCCCTTGTAGGGTGATGATGGTTACTCCTGATTTTGGAAGGACTTCCTCTTTGGATGCTCAGGGCAGCCTGTGTTGCCTTTCCCCTCTCCAGCTTCCCAGTATCCCAACAACTAGGGTAGTCTTCCTCCTCCTCCTCCTCCTCCTCCTTCCTTCCTTCCTTCCTTCTTCCTCTTCCTTCTGCCCCCGTCTTCTCCTCCTCCTCCGCTCCTTCTTCCTCTTCCTTTCTCTTCCTCTTCCTCCTCCTCTTCCTCCTTTCCCTCCTCCTCCTCTTCCTCCTTCCTCCTCCTCCATCTTCTTCTCCTCCTCCCCTCCTCCTCCTTCCTCTTCCTTCTTCTTTCTCTTCCTCTTCCTCCTCCTTTCCCTCCTCTTCCTCCTCCTCTCCCTCCTCTTCCTCCTCCTCTCCCTCTCTTCCTCCTTCCTCCTCCTCCCCTGCTCCTTCTTCCTCTTCCTCCTCCTCTTCCTCCTTCCTCCTTCATCATCTTCTCCTCCTCCTCCCCCTCCTCCTTCCTCTTCCTTCTTCTTTCTCTTCCTCCTCTTCCTCCTCCTTTCCCTCCTCCTCCTCCTCCTCCTCTCCCTCTCTTCCTCCTTCTCCTCTTCCTCCTTCCTCCTCCTCTTTCATCTTCTCCTCCTCCTCCCCCTCCTCCTCCTTCCTCTTCCTCCTTCTTTCTCTTCCTCCTCCTCTTCCTCCTTCCTCCTCCTCCTTCATCTTCTTCTCCTCCTCCTTCTTCCTCTTCCTTCTTTCTCTTCCTCCTCCTTTCCCTCCTCCTCCTCCTCCTCTTCCTCCTCTTCCTCCTTCCTCCTCCTCCTCCTCAGCGTGTGGGTCGCCTGTGGGTTTGGGCTTTTAGAACGAACCTCCTCGATTTGGACGGGGACGGCTTTCCAACTTCGTCCTCCCTGCTCTTTAGCGACGTCGCCGTGTTGGAAGAGGACCTCACGAAGCTCATCGGAGCCCTGGTGGAGCACTTTCTGGAGCCCAGCAAGAACCAACTCACCTGGCGCTGTGTGTAGCAGCCATCCCTCCCCCCCACCCCCACCCCCCCACGGCCCCTCCCTCCAGCCCTGGCTGCCGTCAACGTCGTTCCTTGCACTGCGTCCTGCGGAATTCAGGAACCAAGAGGCAAACCTCCTCTCCTTGCTTTCGTTTCGTAGGTGTCCGTGAGTGTTTGCTGCCTGGGGTGTCTGCGTCCCTCACTTAGCCAGCACCCCAAAGCAGTACTACCTTTTGTCAGCTTGAGTGTACCCAAGTAGTAAAACTGCTCTGAAGCTGTCCGGAGAGGCCCTCAAAGAGAGTCAGAACCTGTGGGGAGGGTCTCTGGCATCAGGCCCTGGTGTTCCTCCTCTTCCCCCTCCAGCAAAGATCAGCCGTCTACATTCTTTGCGCTACGAAGATCCTTCCAGAGCGGGGGAAAAACAGCTAGATTGCAAAAAAAAAAAAAAATGATAGTAATTGTGGGGAAAAAAAAGGCTCTGCTTCTCCACCGTTAGCTAGAATATCGGTATTATCTTCACTGCATTATCGAGTCTTAATTTTGCCAGGAGGTTTTCGTTTGTTTGTCGTTTTCTAGCTCGTGTTGTGGTATTCAGGGGATCCCAGCTCTTTTAAAAACCTCCTTAGATCGTCTTCGTTGGGTGGCATTTTCACCCCCGACGATGTTGCTTCTTGACATCCACCTGAGCCCTGAACCAGTCAAGACGGGCTAAATCACCCGAGGTCTTGATCTCTCTCAAATTGTCTGCAATTTAAGTTGAGGTGGATCCCGACTATTATAGGGTAGCTGATTCACCCCTCTTACCCAAAAAGCAAAAAATTTTCACCTAAGACTTCGTATAAGTAAAAAGGGTGGGTGGGGCGGGCGGTGGGTTGGACTAGAAGACCTCCAAGGCCCCTTTCAACTCTCTTATTCTATTCTAAGTCTCATCCTGCACAGAGACTCCCTTAATTGGCAAACATAATTAGGAGCCTCAGTAGTTAGAGTGCAGGCTCTAGGTTGACTCAGCTTTCCATCCTTCCGAGGTGGGTAAAATGAGGGCCCAGACTGTTGAGGCTGACTCTGTAAACCGCTTAGAGAGGGCTGGAAAGCGGTCTATAAGTCTAAGGGCCATTGCTATCATCAGCCCTGTTTAAACTTGTAGAGGTTGGAAGAGACCGGCAAACCGGAGCTTGTTCATGACTTGTCAGAACAAAGGAGATTCATCAATGCTGTGGTGAAGGTCACATCTCCCTCCAACTATTCATGTTAACAAGGGCTGGCGTGCAAGGTTGGCTAAACCTTGTAGACCAGGGATTCTCAACCTTGGCCGCTTGGAGGTCCGGGGTGGACCTCAACTCCCAGAAGCTATGCTGGCTGGGGAATTCTGGGAGTTAAAGTCCACCCGTCTTCCAGCGGCCACGGTGGAGAATCACAGTTGTAAGCAATCTCGATGCTCAGAAGTTAACATCTCTCGAGGAAAGGGGTCTCCTTGGAGTGCCTTGGTTGGGCTAAGATACTCCAGGAAAATGCCGTAGGGTGGAACAGTTTGCATCCGATTGCGTGCTGGCCTTCCTCTTCCCAAATTTCCAAATGCCACGTTGGCTAGCAATCCTGTCAATTGAAGTCTGGGTTCTCTCCACGGTACCCAATTAGGAAGATGCATTAGGTAAATTATGGACTGTACACAGTTTGGTGCATTTTTCCCACCCACTGCTAAGCTGTAGCCAGTGACAATCATAGGAAAAAAATTTGGGAGATTTGGCCTCACCACAGAGAAGAATTTTTGGCGTGGATCATTGAGCTGCTTCCCTCCATGTAGCGGCACGGACCTCTGTCCTTCTAGGTTGCAGGAGTCCTGTGGAGGACCAGCCACAAAGCCTCTTGATAGCCCAACACACAGGATGTTTCTTCCAGTGTGTAGTTTTTTGGTGTTGGGTCAAATTGGAAGCACAGTCTCAATGCCAGGGTTACATGGTAGAAGGAATCTATACATGGATTCTACAGCATTCGCTGTCATACTCATTTCTAGCTTCCAGGCAGATAATCTCAAGAATTATGATTTATGTAGTTTTCGGAAAACGGAAGGATTGGGTCTAAATTGACACCCCAGGGGACTGTTACGTAAGTATGAAAATTCATGTAGTCACGGGAGCGAAGCAAAGCGTTTTGCACATGGAAAGTTAGATTGCAAAGGTTTTGAAGAACTATCTGTAGAGATTTAAGCTTCCCTTTATACAACCTAGAGCCAGATTTTTTATTTTATTTTTTTTGCCTTTCTGGGATAAATTATTTATTCTTTGCAATTGGAAGTGTTAACTCTTAGGTCATTCACGCTTTACAGGCATTTCCAAAAACTTTGAAGCTGTGCAATAGATATTCTTGATATATTTTGTCTTCAATTTACATGCAACATTTATTTATTTATTTATTTCGCTTTTTATTTAAAGCTTTAAGTACCTTCCAGGTTTTCTATACTTTTGAATGACAGATGCGGAATGCTGTTTTTGTGTTTTTTTAAAAAAATATGCTATCGTTTCCCTTTTTGTTTTCTGTAATATTTGCAAGTGTTCCTATTCTAGTGAAGAAAAACTTAATTTATGTGGTGGAAACCAACCCGGAAAACTGTGGGTAAAAATACGTTTGCTCGAGATCTATATAGCCTGATTTAAAACGCCATCGGAAAACTAAGAGGAAGGAGGCCAACCGTACTTGGAAAGACTGTTTTCCCGCGTTCTGATTTTGGCAAAGAACAACGTCGCTTTGGAACAAACTTAACACGGAAGAACAAAACTGCCTCTTGTCGGTTGGCACACACCGTCTTTAGAAATGTCGTCTCGGGACGGAAGACGATCAACATTTCCCAGTTCGTATAATGGAGAAGTTAGATAAGGGGTCTCCAATCCTTGAAGCACCCCGGAATAGACGGTGTGATCCCCTTTTGTGGGTGAGGAAGCATGTGTGTGGTTGACGCTCTTAAGGAAATACTCCACAAAACAGCATAATAATCGTTTGCAGCAACCTTGTTTCTCAAAATCAGTCAGATTCTGTTGGGGAAATATATCTTTTTCCTCCCTCTCTCTCTCTTTGGCTAACTGGGAAACTTTAGAAAGATCAGCAGGGACGCCTTTGATTTTAGACCTTCGCCGGCCTTTCATTTTGGGTGTCTCTTGATTCCTTGCTTCAAAAACTTAAGCGGAGGATCGTCCGTTATTTGCAAGATGCCTAGGAAAACGTGTCTTGGTTTGTTTAAAATGCCTTTCCCGTTTGATGTGTTCCTACAACGAGCACTGACTGTTGGGGGGGGGGGTCTTTGTTTTTTAAGCTTTGCAACTGTTTTGCATCCATTTTCTTTGCCTTTTTGTTTCGTACCACCAAGGAATGTGTTTGCTCGGGTTGTAGTCCAACCTTGGCAACTTCCAAGACTTGTGGACTTCCACTCCAAGAATTCTGGGAGTTTCGACGTCCACAAGTCTTGGAAGTTGCCAAGGTTGGGCCACCCCTGTTGTAGCTTCCCAAAACTCCCCTTTGCATGATTTCTGCTGATCTCCGGGTACAGCCTTTTAAAAACAACGCGGGCACGAGATACAAAAATTGGGACAATATTAGCTTAAGCGGAAAGAACGCCTGGTCTCCAGCCGTTGAACCAATGTCTTAACGGTCTTCCTTCTCTTAACCCTGTCGCAAAGTCGGTGGGCGGCCGCGCTCTTCCACGACAGGGGAACAGAACGAAAACCTTGGGTCTTCCTTGTGAAAACCAGGTCCTTTGGGTGCTCCCTTGACCGCTGCACAGAAAGCCCATTTCCTCCCCGTGAGTTGCGGCAGGAGAAGGCCACTTCCGCAGGGCTGTGCGGCAACCTCGCGGGTGACCACGGGAAGTGTTGAGATGACCACTGGGCTTTGGAAGTGCGCAGCCTCTGTGTGGGAACCTCCGCTAGGTGCCTCCCAGATTCTCTCGCACGTTCTTTGGCCTCGTCACATGGGGGTTTGAACCCTTCCTGGACAAACAAGCTGCTTGATATCTCCGTCTGTGTGTCTGTGGGTGTTGTGTATAGGGTACTGTGGGGTGTTTCAGAGTGATCCCACAGCCAGAAAGGGATTGGGGCAAGGGTGCAACCATAGACAGCTTCTCCACGGAGTATGTTTCCATGAACTGCCCGATAAAGCACAAGGGAACCTCTTTGAGACAGGAGCCACGGTGGTCCTTCACACCCGAGGCTGGAGGTTGGGCAGATCTTTGGGCAGGAGGGATCCCGTAGTGGGGTTGTCTACATTGGAAGAATCAAGTCGGCCTTGGGGAGAGCTTTCCCCTTGGAAAAGAAGGCCACCCACCCCCCCCGGGCCCAGGCTCAAGGTGGCCCCTTTGGGTAGCTAGCCTTGAAACCCGGGTAGACCTCTTGAGAAGGAAGACTTCTCCTGGTCAGGGGAAAGGAGAAGTGAACACCCCATTCAGGAGGCCTCTACTGACCCTTGTGAAAGGTGGTTCCCATCAGAAGCCGGCGGACCTCTTGACTCCAAGGGGTCCTTGGCGCTTCCACCCACAAACACGGCGAAGCTTCTTCGGGACGGAGGAGCAGCTCTTCCCACCCCGTTGGACGGGGCCGCCTTCCCCGTGGCCCAGAGTCAAGAACTCCACCAACCTCGTACCTCGAATCCCGCCGCTGAGCAGCTGAAGTCAGAGGCATAACGACTTTTCCTCCGCTTAAGACAGGACGCCTCCCCGTTTGCGTAGACGCCCACAAGAGCTGAAATGATCCAGAGTAGACCCCCTGACCCCCCACCCCGTCTTCCTCCAGAACAAGTGTGACTCCTTCCATCGGAATCGGTCTCTCTCTCTCTCTGAACTTGGGTGGGAAAAGTGGGATTAAGCTGCACTTCAGCGCCTTCCTTCCTCACCCAAACGGCCCCGTAATTCTAGCGTCTCTTCTAGTCGCCCTTATTCAGGGGGGAAAGCGGGGTGGCTTTATTTGGGGGGGGTCCAAAGGCCACCCCCAACTCTTCCCGCTCTCCAGCTAAATCTTAAAAACCGCCTCCGAGAAGCTCCTTCCGTTCCACGATGCGCTTCCTGCCCAAGAAGGCGACACAATTGTGCTATCGGTGTGGATTTTTGCACTTTCTCTCCCCCTCCCGTTGGAGGTGTTTTGTGTCTGGATTTTTTGTTGTCGATTTGGTTAAAGGTGTTCAGTTAATAAAACGTTACCTTGATGGAGGCGTGCGCTGGGGTCTCTCTCTCTTTTTTGTGTGTGTACAACAAGAGATTTAGGGAAAGGGAAAAAGAGACAACACAAAAACCGTTGTGGTTTTGTGGTCGGTCTAGGGGAAAGCGGGGTGGCTGAGTGATCTTTTATTTTTTTTTAATTCCAATTTTGGAATTCAATAGGAAAAAAAACCAAATTGGAAATTAAATTACAAAGCGATGCTGGTAGTCCTTGACGTACGACACAACGGAGCTCCAAGTTTCTGTGGCTAAGCAAGGCAACATTTTGGCGGACCTTCCTTGCCACCGTTGTTAAACGAATCGCCGCAGTTGTTAAATTAGTCACATGGTTGACTCGGCTGGTCGGAAGGTTGCAAACGGGACCGTCATAAATTGAAGTCAATTGCCAAGCCCCCGGATTTTGATCACATGACTGCGGGGATGCCGCAATGGCCCTAAGTGTGAAAACTGGGCCCGAGTCGCTTTTTTTCAGTGCCGTTGTGACTCCAAACGGTCACTGAATGAGCTGTTGTAAGTCAAGGGCTACCTGTATATGGGAAAGGGTTTTCATCGAAGAAAGTATGAAAAAGTGCCGGGGAGGAACCGTAGC